TAGTGCTAAGCTCTTTATGAGGACACAGGGGTAAGTTTGTTGTTTTTCCATGTAAATGTGGGCTGGTTTACTACTTGATTGATATCTTTACTGTGTTTGTGTCAGTGTAAGGAAAGGTAGTGTCCAGTTTTTTTATCCAGAGTTTCTCTCTGTACTTCCTTTCCCTTGCGGTCCAACAGGGGTTCCCCTGTAAAATGGAGACCCTGACGGCCTCCCACCCGTGTAATAAAAAATGCGTTTTTTTTGCTTTCACAATGTTCTGTTTATGTGAGTAAAAGCTGGCCTGGACTGTCCGTCCTGTCTCTCCCACATATTTCATATTGCACCTGCGGCAGACAATGACATAAATTAGATTAAGAGTCAATGTTGCCATATGTGGGAGTTTGATGTATTTCCCCTCTCCGGTCATTCCTGATCCACCTCAGCTGCTTGAAATAACTATGGTGCAGATCCTGTTTTTGTGGGTATTTTTGAGGGAGGGTCGCTCTGACTAGGTGATCTTTGAGGTTTTGATTCTTCCTGAAGGCGGTGATGATATTGATGTTACTGTAAGTCTCCTCTCCACTCAGCCGGGTTTGAAAGTTATTTTTGATGGAATGGGTGAGGTCAACGGGTGGAATAGGTGCAGACGAAGGGGAGGATGGATGGTGGGTGTTCCTTGACTGTTAAGAACGTTTTAAAACACGCTGGTAAGAAGGAGCGGGTGTAACCCCGCCCCTTGAGTGCCGTAAAACGAGTGTTGGTCGCTTCTTTAAAATCTTCCACCCAAGTGCAGATTCGATAAAAGCGTAAAAGCGGTGATTTTAAAAGGCCTCCAAAAGTGTGTCTCGGGTGGAAGCTAGATATATCTAAAAGGGCGTGAGTATCCGTGTATTTAAAATACACCTTTGTGTCCAATCGGTTAATGCTGTTAAAATCGGGGCCCTTAAAAACGGTGGTGTCTAAAAAGTGAACCGATTGGACACTGGTGGTCTTTTGAAGTTTGATGGAGGGGTTATGGGTGTTGAAATGTTACAAAATACATCAAACTCCCACATTTCCCCCTCCCAAATACCCCAGATATCATCCAGATATCTGAGGTAATGGGAGGGCTTTTTGGAGCATTTCTGGAGGGCCTCCTCCTCCCACTTGGCCATGAAGATATCCGCATAGGCTGGTGCAAACTTCTTCCCCATGGCCGTCCCCTTGACCTGCAGGTATGTTTGGTTGTTGAAAGT